GGCCCTCTTGCAGCTCTTTGCTTGCACCCCCAGATGTGGGGTGCTGGATTGTGTGGGCGCTCCATTTTCAGTTCCTCGAGGCCCCTCCACGCTGCCTTCCCTGCAGCTGCCCTTCCATGTCCCCACCCCCGAGCCTGAACCTCCCCTCGCGCCCCCCCCCCCCCCCGGGAGCCTGGACCTACCCCAGAGCCCGGATCTACCCCTCCCGTCCTGGGCGACACTTGCTTTGCTTTTGGTTTTGGTGTCTGTCAGTGCCCACCCCCATGGGGGGGGGATTGTTTTGATGTGCATTTCCCTGGCAACTATGATGTTGAGCATCTTTTCTGGTCCTGGGGCCCTGAGCACTGTCAGCCAATGGGAGAGCGGCTCCCCTGCCCCAGCTCCTGCTGTGTGCCCGGCCCCGCAGCTCCCGCTGACCGTGTGTCCCCGCCAGGTTCTACGCCGCGGAGATCTGCATCGCCCTCAACTTCCTGCACGAGAGGGGCATCATCTACCGGGACCTGAAGCTGGACAACGTCCTGCTGGACGCCGACGGCCACATCAAGCTGACGGACTACGGCATGTGCAAGGCGAGCGCCGCCCCCGCCCGCCCCCACCTGGTCCCCAGGGTTCCCTCCGAGGCTCACAGCCCCGACAGGGCCCATCGGAGGCCGTCCTCCCTCCTGGTGACACCTCTGTCCCCACAGGAAGGCCTGGGCCCCGGCGACACCACAAGCACGTTCTGCGGGACCCCCAACTACATCGCCCCCGAGATCCTGCGCGGAGAGGAGTACGGTGAGCGGCCGCAGCAGGAGGGGGCGGGGCCCCAGGACGCGGGCGGGGAGGTGGGGGTGCCGTACCCCAACACTGACGGCCTGTGCTCCCCAGGGTTCAGCGTGGACTGGTGGGCGCTGGGCGTCCTGATGTTCGAGATGATGGCCGGGCGCTCCCCCTTCGACATCATCACTGACAACCCCGACATGAACACCGAGGACTACCTGTTCCAGGGTGAGGCGGGGTGGAGGGGGTGCGGGACGGGGTCCCAAGCTGGAGGGTCCCCAGGCTGGTCCCCACATGGAACCGCGCGTGCCTGTTCTCAGATCCTCGGGGGCGGGGCCCAGGGCTCCTGTTACCTGGCTCAGCACAGGCTTCCTCCTGCCTGGCCACACGCTCTCTGGGCTCCCTGCATCCAGGGCACCTGCCCCTGGGCCCCGACCTGGGCTGTCCCTGTGGCGCCCTCTGGTGGCCGAGTGCGGAAAGGCCTGGGACACATGGTTTATCCAGGATGAGCACCTTCGGCCACAGCCACGGGTACCGACCAGGCCAATGGCAGACCCTCCTGGGCTGTGGGAAGGTCCCGGGGCCCGGCCCAGGCTCCCTCACTGCGGCACACAGACGGGGGCTGGTGGGGACGCGGCCTCTCACCACGACCCCCTCCGCAGTGATCCTGGAGAAGCCCATCCGCATCCCCCGGTTCCTGTCCGTCAAGGCCTCCCACGTCTTGAAGGGGTTCCTGAACAAGGTACGCTCGCGGGGCGCCCTGGGGGCTGAGGCTCCTCCCCCGGCTCCCTCCCCCCTCGGTCACGCCAGGGCTCCAGGGGCCTGGCCCGGCTGTCCTGGAACCCGAGAACCTGACCACACCCACAAAACAGCGAGGGGCTTACCCCAGAGGCCGTGCGCGGAGGCTGGGCCTCGCCGCTGGCCAAGAGCGCGTATCAGACGCTGCTTTGCCCGGTACTGACGGGTCCTCGTTTGAACTCTGACCCTTAGGACCCCAAAGAGAGGCTCGGCTGCCGGCCACAGACTGGATTTTCCGACATCAAGTCTCACGCCTTCTTCCGCAGCATAGACTGGGACCTGGTAAGCGCACAGCATGGGGTCCCTCCCGCTGCGGGCCAGAGGGCGTGGGGTGCGGCCCTGGGTGGGCTGGGGTGACCTGGAGCCCACATGTGACAGACAGGGAGGGGGAGGGGGGGGGAGCCCCTCCATAGGCCCCTGGCCATGCTGCCCGGGGTCCCGTGGGGTGTCCTAGCCTACGAGCACCCCGTTGGTGAGTCTTGTGGGGCCCGGGGTCCGGGCACCAGGGGAAGGTGCTTTCTGTGGCTCCTGGTGTTAAAGGAGAAAGGAACCCTATTTGTTTGAAAATACACACGTGGTTGCAAAGCTGCTGAGACGGGGCCTTTAAAATGTGATGTTTGGGAGGAAAACAAATTCCAGTGAGGTGGATGTCGAGCTCCAGCTGGAACTGGGTGTGAAGAGAGCCCGCTCTGGGGTCACGGGCCGGGTGGGCCTCCCGGGGGCACTTCCCACGTGCAGGACGTGGACCAGCGTTTGTGGGTGGAGGAGGGACCCCGTCCACGTGTGGCCCCAAGTGGTGGGAGGTTCTGGGCAGGACCCTCGGCCCCTGTGGCTAGGTGCCAGCACAGGGGTTCACCACCCCCCCTCCCCGCTTCTCTGGCACCTGTGGTCGCCGTCAATCCCCCAAAAGCTCAGTGGCCACTGTGGGCCCGGGGGTGCAGCTGGGCTCACCCCATTACCGACTGGCCTGCTGATGCCCGTCATGCGGGGTCTGGGCCGCTTCCCTCTCGAGGCCCCAGCGGGTGGGGTCTGCTGGCTCCGTGTTCTCGCTGCGCTCGGGCCGGTGGAAACCTGTGTTCCTCGCGGTGGCGGGCTGTGAAGCCGCCGAGGACGGGGACCCTGACGTGACCTCCCGCGTATCCCCAGCTGGAGAAGAAGCAGGCGCTGCCGCCCTTCCAGCCGCAGATCACAGACGACTACGGCCTGGACAACTTCGACACGCAGTTCACCAGCGAGCCCGTGCAGCTGACCCCCGACGACGAGTAAGCCCGGGCGGCCGCGGGGACCGTCCTGCGTGGGGTGTGGGGGCGGGGCCGCGGGGACCTTTTTCCTACGCTGGGGTGGGAGTGGTCGTGTGGGGCGGGGGCGGCGGGCACCCCAGCAACCGAGCCTCCGCCCTGCCCGCAGGGACGTCATAAAGCGGATCGACCAGTCAGAGTTCGAGGGGTTCGAGTACATCAACCCGCTGCTGCTCTCCACCGAGGAGTCCGTGTGAGCGTCCGGGGCCGTGGACACGCCTGTGAATGACCGCCTTGGCCGCCGCGCATGCATGCCGGGAGGAGCCGGGAGGACGTGCCGGCCCGCACCCGGCGCCCCGGGCGGAACGGTCCCGCAGCCCGGCCCGCGCCCAGAACTTGCTTCTGTGCCTGCGGCGCGGAGGCCCGCGGGGCCGCGTCCGAGGGCGACACGGGCCCTCGATTCGAAGGTGCACACTTTCCAGAAGCCGCCCTGGCGCTGGGAACTCACTGTCATGTCCGAGGAATAAAGTGCGGTGGTCAGACCCCGGCTGCCTTCTTTCCGGCCGAGGCGCCTGCGCGTGGGCGGGACGGGAGCCCAGGCACCCGCGGCGGCGAACTTTGTGCGGAAGGTTTTCTAAGTCCCGGTAAGTTCCTGTTGTTAATATTTAACAAGTATTTTCCTACCGAGCAGGTGAGTGGCCGCGGGGGCTGGCGCTGACGTCACCCCTCCCCTGCCAGCCGGGCCCGGACATCGGCCGGTGGAGATGCTAACAGTTGCTCCCCGGAGCAGCGGTAGACCAGACTAGACAAGGAAACTGGAAACTAAATCTGCTCAAAATATATTTCTGCAAACACTGCGCAGTGCCTCCCGATGTCTGTGTCACGTGTTGGATTGGGGGGAGCGTTTTTGTGGGTTCCGGTGATGCTCAGAATGAGGACGTTTAAGATGCGTGTGTGTTGGGCCGAGGCATGGAACCCGCAACCTGCAGGCTCCCTGCGCTCCAGCAGGGCCGGCTCCCAGCCTGCCACCCTCCTCCCCGGGAAGCCAAAAGGAAGGTTTTCTGGAAAGGGGTGCACCTTGTGGGTTTTTAAGTCCCTAGCACGTTAGCTGGGCACCGCATCCCCCAGCGTACAGTACGAGCACAGCCGCAGCCCAGGCCCCCTGCACCTCCGTGGGGCGGGGCCGGCGATTGGGCAGGAGATGGTGGGAGGAACAGCCAACACCAAGCAGCTGCCCTGGAGCCGGTCAGCTCGGCAGCACTCACGTCGCCCACGCTCGGCGCTCACGCTCAGGGAAACCGGGGCAGCAACGCGAGGCTCTCCGCCCCGCCCCCACCCCGGGGTCCCCGGCCGCCCCCGAGTTGCAGAGCAGCCTTCGTGCATCGTGGAGACGTGTGTCCGGCAGCCCAGTGTCACCAGGAGACGCCGATCAGGACCAAGGCCGGGAGCACAGGGCAGAGCCCTAGACCGGCTCGGCCTCACAGACGTCCCTGCCGGCGGGCGTCCAGCAGCAGAGCCTGGATCGGAGCTCAGTGGTCAGTCGGGACTGGCGGGACTGGCGGTGGCCTGGGAAGGGAGCCTTTCTCCCCGGTGCTGCGCTGGGCTGTGATGGCAGCACCGGGCCCAGGTGTGTCGGTTCGCTCCCCGTGGCTAGCTGGCCGCCGTGCAGTGTGTGGGGGTAGCAGTGCACTCTGTGGTGGGGTACGGGCAGCTGTTGCTTCATAAAGTAAAACAGGCGGAGGGTGCGCTGGCCGAGGTTTGGAGTCACGTGCTGACGTCGGCCAGTGGCTTGTGGCCACGTCCTGTGGTTTTGTGCAACTAAAGGGCCCCGGGTCCTGCTGACCTGTGGTGGACACTCACCCACCACGGCCACGGCCGCTCTGCCCCTGCACATCATTAAAAGACCTTCATGAAAGCGCTTACTGTTGTTCCTTCCTCTAAAAGTAAGTGTTTCCAGGAAGCAGAGGTGTGTGTGTGTGTGTGTGTGTGTTTAAATATATATATTTTATTGATTTTTTACAGAGAGGGATAGAGAGCTAGAAACATCGATGAGAGAAACATCAATCAGCTGCCTCTTGCACACCCCCTACTAGGGATGTGCCCGCAACCAAGATACATGCCCTTGACCAGAATTGAACCTGCGACCTTTCAGTCCGCAGGCTGACGCTCTATCCACTGAGCCAAACCGGTTTCGGCGTGTTTGTGTTTTAAGAAATATATTTTAATTGATTTCAGAGAGGAAGGAAGAGGTAGACACATCAATGATGAGAATCACTGTCAACTGCCTGCTGCACGCTGCCCACTGGAGATGGAGCCCACAACCCGGGCCTGTGCCCTGACTGGGAATCGAACCGTGACCTCCTAGTTCATGGGTCAAAGCTCAACCACTGAGCTGTGCGGCCGGGCCACAGTGGCATGTTTTGATGTGCAGCTTCGGTTTTCTCTCAGGCTGTGTGCAGAGCAGTGGGGCCTCACCACACCACGTCCTCCGTGCTGTCCGCCAGGCACTGGGCAAGGTGGCTGTCGATGTCCAGCTGGGCCAGCCTGGGAGGAGGAGGGTGGTCACTCAGGGAGGGGAGGTGCTGCCTCCACTGCGCACGCACACCCACTCTCCGCGGGGACGGAGAAACCCTGGGGTCTCCCTGGCTGGTCAGAAAGGAGCGGAAGTCTGGGGGGAGAGGTCACCTCCACGTCCTGTTCTCGGTCAGAGGCTCTGAGTGTGCCCTGGACAGGACATCGGGAGACCCTGTGGCACACGCATTCCCAAGCTCCTGCGTCCGAGGCTGGGCCCAAGCCCCCCGGGAACTGGCGCCTGCTCAGCTGCTGGAAACCGAGCCGAGAGCCGGTCTGCCCACGAAGGTGATGCGGGAAGGCCACAGTCCTGGTCCGGCCGGGTCTCCAGCAGCAGAACCCACCTCTGCCCGGAGAGGGGCTGGAGACGCCGGAGCCATGCCAGGGAAGGGGCCTGCTGCCCGCCCAGACGCCCTCTCCCTGCCCGCAAGGGTCTCCAGGCCAAGGCACTGCCAGGACCGCAACCATCAACTGGCCACATCCCCGGCCAGGACAGGCCATCGCTGAGCCAGCCGCAGCAGCTGCTGAGGACGGGCTTTCACCGTTACATGAGGGGCAGGGACACAGGAAGGACGGAATCCCTTCCTTGCCCCCTCCCCGCCAGGACAGTCGCCTCACCCACACGCCCTCGTCCCCTACTCCAGCTGTGTGGGTGCTGCCTGGACCTGGGCAGGGATGCTGAAGGGGTGCCATCTGGGCTCCCCAACACCAGACTGATTTGGTTCCAGTGAAATGTGAGGCGAGAGAAGCCTGGACTCTGACTTTGCCGGGGGCACATCTCTGAGTGAGAAACCAAGTCCGCCCCGGCCAGAGCGGCCCCGAAGGGCTGCCGGTTCAATTCCTGGTCCGGGCACAAGCCTGGGCTCCAGGCTGGACCCCCAAGGCGAGTGCACAGCAGGCAGCTGGCCTGTTTCACTTCCAGTGGAAGTTTCCCTCCCTCTCCCTCTCAAAATCAATTTTTAAAAAGCCTTAAGCGCAGAAAAGGGAAGAAATCGTGTCTGAAGAGGGCCCTGTGCAGCTGTCCCATGCGGGGGGGATCACTGGCTGGGGGTCCTGCCTGGGCCTCCGCTGCGGAGTCTGGAACCCACTCCCCTCGCTGCTGCTGCTGCTTCTGCTTCTGGAAGCCGCCGTCCACGCCCTGCACCGCCAGGCCCCTCCCAGGGTCCTCTCCCATCAGGACCCCATGTTGTCCATCCCTGTGTCCTCTGCTGTGACAGCCCACAGGCCGGGCAGTGTAACTTAGCAGAGCTGGATTCCAGCTCCCACTTAGAAGACAGAGTAACAGTCTATGTTGGATTTTTAAAAATAGAAAAAACGGTGGATCGCCATTTGGCTCCGTGGATAGAGCATTCGCCTGTGGATTGACGGGTCCCAGGTTCGATTCTAGTCAAGGACACAGTTGTGGGCTCCATCCCCAGGGGGCGTGCAGGAGGCAGCCGATCCATGGTTCTCCCATCATGGATGTTTCTCCCTCTCTTCCTTCAGAAAGTCAATGAAAATACATTTCTTTAGACTTTCTCTAACACCCAGCTCGGCACTGGGGGTGGGGGGGGCACTCACCCGGGTGCGAAGTCGGCCTGGCACAGGGGGCAGCTCTGCAGGGCCTGTGCCCCGCCCCCCGCCGGCCGCTCCGGGACCGGGGGCACCAGGGGCACCGCGGGCACCTCGCGGGGCTCCGGCGGGGGACATCCTAGCGGGGACGGGGCGGGGGGCCCCGGGCGCCCGGCGGCCGCGCGGAGCACCCGGTAGGAGCAGCCGGGGCCCCCTGCGCCCCGCGGGGCCGGCGGGAAGGGCGTCCAGGAGAAGGTCTCGGGTCCCACGGCGAACTCCTCGGGGGGCGCGGCGCGCGCGGGGTCCGGCCCGGGCTCCTGCGGACCGGGGTGGTCAACGGCGTCCCCCCGGAGCCCCGCACCCCTCCCGCCACCGCCGTCCCGGCCACGCACCTCGGCGGGGAAGACGGGCAGCGGCGGCGGCTCCTCCGCACCCCCGTCCGCGCTCACCGCGCGCAGCAGCTCGGCCCACAGCCGCGCGCGCTCGCCGTCCGGGGGCGACCGGGGGCGGGGCCTGGGGGGCCTGGGCGGCCGCGGGTGGGGGGTCGAGTGTCAGCTGAGGGGGACCCAGCTGAGGGGGACCCAGCCGAGGGGGGACCCAGCCGAGGGGGACCCAGCCGAGGGGGACCCAGCTGAGGGGGACACTCAGCTGAGGGGGACCCAGCCGAGGGGGACCCAGCCGAAGGGGACCCAGCCGAGGGGGGACCCAGCCGAGGGGGACCCAGCTGAGGGGGACCCAGCTGAGGGGGACACCCAGCTGAGGGGGACCCAGCTGAGGGGGACCCAGCTGAGGGGGACCCAGCCGAGGGGGGACCCAGCCGAGGGGGGACACCCAGCCGAGGGGGACACCCAGCTGAGGGGGACCCAGCTGAGGGGGGACCCAGCTGAGGGGGACACCCAGCTGAGGGGGACCCAGCTGAGGGGGACACCCAGCTGAGGGGGACCCAGCGGGGGAGGGACCCAGCTGGGGGGGACCCAGCGTGGGGCAGTCAGCGCGGGGCACAGGTTGGGGGCAGCGGGAGGGGCGGGCCGGGGCCGGAGGGGCGCGGGGAGCCCTCCGCGGGGGTGGGGGGACGGGGCGCACCAGGACGCACGTGGGGGCATGGCACAGGCCACGGCCCGGAACGGGGACTGGGCCGCCCACCCGGCCGCCGCCCTCCCCGTCCCTGAGGCTCCAGGCCCGTCCTCACCCGCTGCCGCAGGGCAGCCTCCGCCGGCTCAGCCGAAGCCGAGGCCTCCGCAGCGCCTCCATCGGCCCGGAGCTCGCGCGTCCGGCGGAAGTGCCGGTGGACCCCGCCCCGGACACTGACCCCGCCCCCAGAGTTAGCCCCGCCCCAACGTTAGCCCCGCCCCTAGCCCTGGAGACCCCTGCTGGGCGTGCGCAGGGGACCCCAACTCCCGCCCCAGCCGGACCCGACCTTCCCCTCCTGCGCGCTGGATCGTGTCCCCTGGGGCCCCCTCGGCCTGCCCTCTGGCCATGGGGTGCCCTGGCCTTTGTGACCTGTCAGAGCAGAAGGTGTCCCCACCCCACCTTTGGGGAGACTGAGGCCGGAGAGCTCGGCCCGGGGAACCGTTATTCCGCCAGGACGGGGTGCGGGGTGGAGCTGGAGCCAGCGAGGCCTGGGAGGAGGGGGGAGTGGGCGGGCGGTCCGGCTGCGTGTGCACCCCATCCCCTCCAGTCACCCCCACCCCACCCCCCTTTCCCGCTGTGGGGACAGCCAAGCCTCAGTCCCCGGTTCTGCAGACCCCGCTGGCCCTCCCAGGACCGTCACCGGAGCCTGCGGGAGGGGGGTGCCTGGGGGGGGCCTGGGCGGGGCTCCCCTCATTCCTGGCGGGCCCATCTGGGCTGTGTCACGCGGAGATGGCCACTTGGTGGCAGCAGAGGCCCAGGCAGCCTCTGCCACTCCGGACCGCAGCCCTGCCTGTGGGCCTGAGGCGGCCCTGGGAGACCAGGAGGGCGTGCAGGGGGCAGGGGAGGGGGCGGCTGCTCTATGCGGACACAGCAGCTGTTACTCGCCGTGTCTGTCTCCCCAGCCCCTGTGGGGCTCTGTTCTGCACCCACTTCTGCAGGGGCCCCCAGGGCGCTGTCCTAGCCCCCTCAGCCCCTGCCATGGCACCCCCCTCCAGGCCCCGTGTCTGGGCTCCCCCGGCCCAGTGCAGGTCAAGTGTGCGGTCCTCCTCCTCTGACAGGTCGGCCTCCGCAGCTCTGAGCTCCTGCCTGCACCGGGGACCGGTCTGGACCCCAGAACACGGGGGTTCTCACCCTAGACTCCCAGCGGCCGGCGGACACCCGCAGCCGGGGGTCAGCTGTGGCAGGAGCTCTGGCTCAGGCCCTGGACGGCGAGGGGGCTCCCCGCTCCGGCACGGCAGGTGCCAGGACTCCCCGACAGCTGTGCCGGGGTCCCTGCCCAGGTCCCAGCTGCCCTGGCCGCAGAGCCCGTCTTGGAAGTGTCCCCACATGCCGCACGCTAGCGCGGGGACGTCCAGGAGGCGGCGCCAGGCCCCCCTGGGGCAGAGCACGGCCCTGCCAGCCTCCCGGTGGTGGCCGGCGTGGTGACCGGTGTGTGCCCAGTGCCCGGGTGGGGAGCCAGGCCCTGAACTGGGCCCAGAAGGAAGCGCCAGGGTCCTCCACGTCCCGGCCCCTCTGGCCCCTCCCCCTTCGGACCTCACAGGCCTGCCCCCCAGGGGGCAAAGCGGGGCAGGAGCGGGAGGGCCTCAGCTGGACCCCGGGGCGCTGGGCTGGGAGGAGGGCGGGTGCCCAGGCAGCGCAGGCCCCAGGGGCTGACCGTCAGGGCTTGGTGGAGCCTCGCTCTAGCCTTTCGCACAGAGGGGGTACCCCCTCTTCCTTGGATGCAGAGGAGGGGCCCCCCATCTTCCTCGGATGCCAGAGGAGGGGCCCCCCATCTTCCTCGGATGCCGGAGGAGGGGCCCCCCATCTTCCTCGGATGCCGGAGGAGGGGCCCCCCCTCTTCCTCGGATGCCGGAGGAGGGGCCCGGACCCCGGGCAGGCCTGTGCTGGTGGCACAGAGGCCCAGGGCCTGGCGCGCAGGGGAGGGCAGAGCCGGAGCATCCTGTGAACGCCAGCCTGGGCTCTCCTCTCTGGTTTCATCCGGCTGCTGAGGATTAGCACCCCCCTTCCCCGCAGAGACCGGGGGCCCAGGGCCGGGGCGCTTCCGCGGGGAGCTGCCCACCCTGAGCCGGCACGGCAGGTGCGGCCGCCAGGAAGCCCCGTCCCCTCGCTCTGCTTTCCGACAGCTGCCACCCCCCCCAACCCCCAGGCCCCACAGGGACCTCCAGGAGGGGGGACAGGAGCATGTGCTCCCTGACAGCCCCCTCGTCCTATCCTAGGATCCCATGTCCCGGAGCGGCCGTGGCCGTGGCCGTGGCCTGGCCGTGGCCGTGGCCAGGCCGGGGAAAGTTTAAAAGTTGAATTTGACTTAAAGGCTCCCATGTTCTGAGCCTCACAGGGACGAACCAGCACAGGAGCAGGAATGAATCCACGGTTACAGAGACTGTTTCGGGGTTTGCAGGAGGCCCCTCCCCTCAGGCAGGAAGTGGTCCAGGGGCCAGGAGTGTCAGGCAGGACCTCTCGGACCCGGAGCACCCGGCCCGGCGCTGGGTCCTCACCCTGTGCTCTGGCCGCGCCCACGGTGGAGACCTGGGGGCTGGTGAGCCAGACCCCCTCCCCTCCCAGGCTCTGGCCCAGAGTCCATGAGGTCACAGCCAGCGGCCAGGCCCACTCCCTCCCCGCAGCTCCACCGCCCAGGACCAGGGTGTGGTGTCCCCTGGCTCCCACTGGGGGGGGGGGGGGCGGGCCTGCCTCTGACGCCCCCAGGGCTCCCCCAGGGCCCGGCCACAGGCAGCCGGGGTTGTCCCAGCCCCACCCCGGCCCTCCCGTGGCTCAGGGGCTGAGCCTCAACCTCTGAACCAGGAGGTCACGGTTCCATTCCTTTCAGTTTCCCAGTGAAAGTGTCTGCCCGCAGGCACATGCCCTCGGCTCAGAGCTGCCGGGACGGCGCAGCAGCCACTCCGGACGCCGGGCTGTGCCCGCGGGCTGGGCCGCCTCCTCCTGAGCCGGGCCTCCTGCTGCTCGGCCACACCTGCCGGCCGGTGAGTGCCAGGCAGGCGGCCCGCCCCAAGCCGGGCGGTGGCACTCGTGGCTGCGTGAGCACCAGGCAGACGAGCTGCATCCAATCAGTTTCCTGGGAAACATGGCGGCTCGGAGGGCACAGCTGGTATGCCGGGACCACCCACCAGGGAGGCGACAGCGGGGTGGGCGTCGGCGGCCGGGACTGCCAAGGTCCGCCGGCCAGAGCCGAGGCCTGGCACTGCCTCCAGCCCCGCCCCGGGAGCCCACAGGCCAGGGGCGGCTTGGGGGTGAGAGACGGGGACTCACCCCCTGTCCGCTCGCCCCAGGTGCCCAGGCGTGTGGGTGCAGGCAGGGTGCCCGCAGGGTGACCTCCACGGCCTTTGGAAACCGGGATGGACCCGGGCTGATGGGCAGACGGACGATGCCCTGGGGGCGGGGGGGGCGGACCAGCCGAGGAGGGCGAGCTCGGGGCGCAGCCCGGGGGCTCAGACCTTCACTGGGGGGCAGTCCTGTCCCGGCTGCGTGCCCCCCCGCCCCCCGTTGCCCCGGACCCACACGGGGGCCACCTGTCTGCTCCCGCTTCCCGGAGTTTCCATTCCCGTGTGGACGCCTCAGAGCTCCCGGCGGCCATTCTGCTCACACGTGCGTTCTACATTCTCTGTGTATGTGCACACATACATGTGACGTGTACGCACATGGGCGTGTGCACGTGGTGTGTGCTTGTGTGTTGTGTGCGTGTGTATGTGCACATGGGTGTGTTTGTGTGTGCTCGTGTGATGTTTGCACGTGTGTGGTGTGTGCACATGTGTGTTCATGCGAGCTGTGTGCACGTGTGTGTGTGGACATGTCCTGTGTCCCTGCCCCAGAGCAGGAGCCCCGCACTCTCCCAGAGGGGAAATGGAGGCGTGGACTCAGCCACACCCCCGTGCACCTCAGCCATTCGGCTCCCCTGGGGGGTCCTGAGGCCCGTGGGGGTCCAGGCCCAGCGGCCCCTGGAGAGGCTGGTCCCGCGCCTCCTGCGTCCCGCCTCCGCCTGCTCGCCCCCCACTCTGTCCTCCCTCCCTCCCCCTCTCCCCGTCCTGGCAAGCCGACTGCAATCCAAGCCTGCTGTTCGCTCCAGCCCTGCAGTTGTCTGCCAGCCCGTCCAAGTTCAACATTGCTCTCGGGGCCAGAGCCGGGAGCCGGCCCGAGGTGGACGGTCAGCGGAGGGCGCTGGGCGGAGGCCAAGGCCAGGCCTGGGCGGTGGGCACCCTCCCCGCAGCGGCTGTGGGTGCTGGGTCCGGGGTCCGGGCCAGGGGCCGGGTCAGCCCTCGGCCTGTGCCCAGGTCCCGCCTTCGGAGTCGCCTGTTTTCTTAACCCCTGGCTGCGGCCGAGTGGGCAGGCCCGGGGGCAGCCGGTCCCTGGGCAGGGGGGAGGGGCTGCGGGCCCGAGAGGGGCTGGCGCTGGGCGAGGCCCCCTGGGGGTCCCTCCCGCCCGAGCCGGCCGGCAGGGCGGGGCCGGGACAGTGTCCAGCCAAACAGCCTCCTCTGGTTCCAATCGCGTCCTCCTCGGGCCTCAGTCTTCCCCGCAGGAGAGTGGGGGCCCGGCTGTGGGCGCACTGCCTCCGCCCTCGGGCACGGCCACTGGGCTGCCAGCATGGCCGGGCTGAGGCCCTCCGGGGTCAGAGCGACCCTCAGCCTGACCCCTGGGGGTGAACAGGGGCTCCTCCCTGCCCCCCTCCTGCCAACGCCTCCCCCTCTCGGGGGCCCTGCCGCCAGGATGCCCCCCCTCCCCCTTCCCCCCCCTCCTCTCCCCCCTCCCCCCTCTCCTCTCCCCCTCTCTTCCCAGGAGCCCCTGGACTCGGCTCCCGCCCGCCACACCCGCCTGTTCGTCCCGAGAGCAGGTCCCCGTGGGCCTAGAGCTTGGGGTCCGCAAGCCCTAAGAGACGGGGCGCCTGGCCGGCCCCCCCCCCGCACGGTCCTGCAGGTCAGGCCCCTCCGGACAGGGCACACCACGGCCTGAGCTCAGACCAGGGCCCCCTATGGGGGTCTCAGTGTCGGAGGAAGGGCAGGGGCCGGAGCCTGGGCCTGACACCCCCACGTCCCCCCAGTGAGAAGGGCGGGGGACAGAGGCCCACAGAGAGGGTCCCCCTGTCTGCCCTGCCCCCTGCCCCCTGCCCCATCGACCCCAGAGCCCTTGCCTGCCCTCACGCCTTCTGCCCAGATGGGGCTTGTTGAAA